CAGGGTGAATGGTTGGACTCGATGATCTTGAAGGTCTCTTCCAACCAGACGATTCTATGATTCTATGAAAACCTACTTCCCCAGTCACTGCCCAGAGCCATCAGAGGAGAGAAGACAATTAAGCTCACTGCAATTAGCCAAACCCCACCCTTTGGCAAGCAGGGATGGGGAACGGTCCCCAGCACACTCGTGAAGAGAGGCGAGGCCATGCACTGCTGGGTGAGGTCCACACCGCGCACACAAAACAGAGCATCTTGCCCAGTATGTACTTGTGTGCACATGCAGGTGGCAAAACGGCTCGGAGTAAGCACTTTGGTGATGCAGGTGCTATTTGCAGATGTTTTCATTTTATATTTCTTTAGTTTTCATAAAATTGACTTTTGCCATGCAAGCTTAAACATTTCTTATTTGCACTGCAAATGTTTTTTTTAAAAAAAAAGCAGTAAGATTTATGTTGTCAGACAGTAAAGTGGGGAATGGAAGCAAGAAACTAGCTTTAAAAAAAAAAAGTCATTACAGTTGTCAGAAAAGCATTAGTAGGAGAAACTCCTCAGCAAACTGTCTAACACTTAGGTGGAAAGACTCCATCTCCAAGACAGCCCAGTTACACTTTTTGCACTTTTTTTCCCCAAGTTCCCTAAATCCAAACATGCTTCTCAGCCCTTGAATATAAAAAGAATGAATCTCTAAATGCTAAAGATCACTACAACACTGTTTGAGATTTCCATCTATTTATCAGGAATGCTTGTTGATGTTTCCAGTTGGAGAAAATATTTTTTTGTTGTTGTTTTTAAAAAAATATTTATTCCTCCCTAGATTGCATACCCATACCTACTTATGAGCCCCACCACAACACTGCAGCCTGGGTTTGAGCTGGGTACCAGCTTTTCATTATTTGTGCTTTCTTAGGTAAAAATCAGGACAGATTACTGCAGAATAGACCAAATCAAATTAGACCTGACCATCATGGAAAGAATGAGCTTTAATCTTACTTCCTTCACCTCTTACTTAATTCCTTCCCTATTCACAGTGGATTTCACTTACTCACTTGAATCGGAATTGATGACTTTGCTTTAAATTCAGAGGTGGGCCAGATTTCTGTTTTCCCCTACAAAGCCCAGCCCAGTTCCTGTTTCTCCAGGCTGTTTTACTAACGTACATTCCTTGTTCCAGTTATTATCCAGCCTGGCCTCCTACAGACTAACTGGCCAAATGCTGAAAAGCATCCTTTTTACATACATGCATCTGTTTTCCCACGTTTCAGTAGCTTTACCTAAGGACCAGGTCATGGTTTTCATAGGCTCCCATGGTTGTGGTTGTTGTTTGTCCTCTGAAAGCAAGGTATGATGCTTGTGCCGGGGGCTTCCCCAGCAGACACCCGGCACCACTCCTGAGCAAACGAGGCACCATGGTTTTGGTTGCAAGAAACAACATTCATCATTAGAAAGGGAAAAAGTACAGAATCAGATTATTTGGCCTTGCGCTGCTCCAGCGTGCCCAGATTTTACTGCGGGGTTACTTTCATGGATTTGCGATGGTCACTCCGGATATCAAACAGTGTGAAAGGGCAGGTCTTGCCCTGATGTTTGCAAAGATGAATTGTATAAAATTCACAGGACCCACTGGAAACATTATGTCTGAACTAGGCTGTGAAAACTCAGGGCGTTGGGTCAGTTCTGCTTTAAACATAGTGTAGCCTTCTCCTAAAAAGAGGTTAAAAAAAGATCACCCAATTATAAGTTAGCTTACAACCTAATATTGACCTCCTGGAAGAAAACCAGTCTTGATTCATTTAATCTGAAGAACAGCAGTTCCCAAACATTATGGTTGTGACCCCTGTTACATTCCAGTGCCTGGGACCACACTACATTTAACAGCAGATTAAACTGAATTTGCTGGATTTATCACCTTGCTTACACCAGCTGAAACCTCAAAGCTGGTTGCCTCAGGGTACGGTCCCTGCTCTCCCACAACTTCACAATTCATGCTATTTATTTGTATTTAATTTAATCACCCATCAACCATCCTCTGAGCACGTGGAACCAGTGGAAACAACTTGCAGCTTTGGGTAAACATGGAAAGATGTTGACTTCCTTGCTTACGCTTTCCTGAACAACCCTTTCCTTGAGCCAAAACTAAGGTAAATAAGCCTCTAAACTAGGTACAAGGAGTAGGTAGGTACAAGCACCTTCACTGATAAACACCACTAATTACAATCAAGAGATATTAAGACAAATCTCAGCTTTACATGTGACAACGTCTGGTGCCCCAGATGCATATTTCAGGTCTGAAAGTAAACACACACAGGTACTGAAACCAACGGGAATCCATGGAAAAACTTCCATTTCTAGGATAAGGCCACTGGAATGTAAAAAGCGGGCTAGAATTTAAGAGACTACTCCAGCAGTATGTATTCTGCACAGTTTGATACAATATCAGATACATACTTCCCGCATGAGGAAAAGCAGGTTTGCTTACAGGCACTGAAAATGAAGATCCATAAGAAAAGCCCTGATCTCACTGCAAATTCAAGCATTTAACATTCAGTGAGGAACGGAGAAAAAGCAAACAAAAACCAGACACTGTGTTGTACTACTTTGTTTTTATAGAATTTTTACAATATAGTTCTCTTCATTTGCATATTTTACCCACATCTGTAGCTTTCTTTTTACATGTTGAACTGAACTGGAACAAATCTAAAGGTCTGATATATTTCAAACAACTGATAAAAATTGCAAAGTAGTAAACCCGTAAGAAAAGAAATTATAAAACTCTCTTTGTTAAGTGTTTAATGAAAGCAAGTCAAATGCATCATTAGGAACAATATGGTTTGTTTTAAACACATCATAGGTGACTCAGGCAGGACAATTTTTTTTTTTTTCTCTATTAGGCACATTTTTTTTTTAGCATACCTGTTTTCCAGACAGTTTTATACTATTCAATAGTATCATCTGCATCCACTTGGAACTGCTGCAGGATTTTCAAAATGTGATTGATCATGAATATTCACTATGGTATTCTCTTCCTCTTTCTTTAAAACTATCAGAAGGGGAAGAAAAAAAAAAAAAAATCAGTGTTTCTTGTCTCTTAAAAAAATCCATAATGAATGATTGAGTTGTAAGGCAGCAACAGATTCAGTGTCAACTCAGGTCACAGTCCTTCAGTTCCATCTAGTGGGTAGAAATTTTATTTAGTGGACACGGTTCCTAGAGAGGCCCTTCAGGGCAAGATCACTGACTCACAAGGCCAGTTAACTGCTGGTAGAGTAAGTTAAGTGGTACACCAAGTAAGGAACACTAGCCACTCCTGCGTCATCCTTGCATCTTCATAGAGAGAGCAAAAAGACAGTCCAATGGAAAAAAGTATGAATATGATAGAGCCATGACAGGTTCTGTGAATGGTTTATTTACAGTCTTCATCCCTGATGTGAAAAACAAAAAAAGCCTTCTTTGACTAAACCAGGTAGATCTCAGCAGCATGCTACATGCCTTAGCATCAGCCCATTGCATATCCTTGACCATTTAGCCATGGATTCACACTGAGGCAGTGAATAGAAAGTCCTACTGCTCAAGAAGAGCAATTTCAAAATGCTCACCTGTCCCATTGATACAACTCCCTAACAGAGACTCAAGAATGTCTCCTTTTGGTGGAGCAACTCCCCGTTCTCAGAATCTGTTCACGCTATTAGGAAAAGCGTGAAGCAGTTGGTTTCTCAGGGATCTCTCAGACATCCTTGCAGTGAGACTGCAAACTCAAATACATTACTCAGATGTGGGAACAAAATGATCCATGTGTTAAAGATACGCCACAACTTTGATAATTCCCTTCCCATCGTGATCTCATTCTGGAAGGAGAGAGGGCTTTAACCTTCACCCACAGCACACTCGAGGAGGGGTTTCAGAGCAGTATCTCTCTGCCTCCTTTTAGTCCTTGATAACTAGTACATTTTTCCTGAATTCTGGCCTTCTCATTTGCTAAGAGGGTTACTCCATTCCTGAAGGCAATGGCTTCAGCATAGTGCTTTTTGGTCTCCAGTTTTAAGTCTTTAAGGCAGAACAATCACATGCTGATTCAACTTCATCCCCTGAAGGAGCATTCACTTTACACTCACCCGCTGAACAGAAAGAAGTCAAAACATCTTTAACTACAGCACTAGAGACCATCCAAAATTAAAAAAGGGATGTATTACTGCAAATTTCCCTCTCAGAGGGAGACTGAACCACCCTTAAAATTCCATCCCCAGCTGATAAGACCATGAGTTCAGAGGTCAGCCCCCAAAGCAGTGCTCCCATGCACATTGCACATTGCTATTTAGGCACCTCACCTCTTGGACAGGCAAGGTCAATAAGCATATTCCCTTCTGACAGAGCCATTGCCTTTACACAACTTGCACTTCACTACTGAAGCTTTTGGTTGCCTTTTTTTCGTACTCTAATGTTGAGGTGAAGAAGGAAAGAAGAAAATAATTAGCATAAAAAGTCCTCTGAATTCATACTTGACAAGACCAGTCCTACATACGGTGTAACAGTACACAAAATACATCCCCAAATCCTTTTATCTTCTTTTAAACTCTTTGGAAAGGGAATAGCCAGCGTAGTTGAGCAGGAAGAAAGCCAATTTATTTCAGCATAGAAGTTCTGCAATTCATTCCATGTTCACTAACAGTAACGCAGTTATTGCTCTGTTAAGATAGGACTGGATTGATCATTAACCCCCACCCTGAGTGCTGGGATTCTGGGATCCCAACACTGCCGAGAAGGACCTCCTAAGCCACAAGTATTGAAATAACTAAAAGAAAAGATCCTCATGAATAATTTCTTGTAAAGATGTGATCTTTGAGAAACATGGAAATTCCTCAGTTCTTCATATTGCCACTGCTTTGTGAATGGAGGCCAGTCTTTGCTCTCTGCACTAGAGTAACGCATTATTTAGAATAACACATTGGAGATAAATTAAGGTAAGAATAGATGATCCAGCTGATTGAATCAAAGAACAGGAGAACAAGGATGCTCTGAAACTGGAATCCTTTAACTGCTATGTGAATCACCCAGAATTCGTTTTACAACAAGTTCTTTTCCTTGGGTAGTAGTCTTCAAAGCAAAAGCAAATATGACAGGATTCAAGTGTGGACCATTTCTGCATCAGCCCACCAGATTCTGGTTTGCGTATTCACTTCAATGATATATAGCAGATATTGCTGACGGCATCGCTCTGAGTTCAGCAATGTTTTCAAAGCTGTCACATTCCATCAATCAAGTTTCCTTGGGAGCAGATGATACCAATGCGAGGGTCTTCCATTCTCATACTTCAGCTACCTTCTTTTATTTACTTCCTCTGAATAATAAAAAAAATATTGTTCTGTTTACTCTAACATGCTACAATATGTGCATACATAACTGTAGGCGACGCGTGAGTTACTTCAAGATGTGCTTTTTCATTGAAGTGCGCTTTTACTTTTACAAATTCTACATCAAGGTGGAAGGAAGGAAGGCTGCAGAGTGCTCATACACTGAAGCTGAAGGAACTTCTCCTGAACGGAGTTAAGATGTTTGTTCCAAGGTTCTTATGGACAAACTACTCTATCCCATGCACTCCGGCCTGAGCCAGCATTAAACATTCCAGAAACTGGTTGATTTGTTTGGATAGTTAATGGCAAGGCTGATAGCAGCAATGTTTTTCAGGGCCTAGAAGAGAGAAGGAAAAACAAAGTCATGTCAGAGATTCTCCCCAGTCCAAAACTGTAAAGAAATCCTTGTATGAAATTCAACAGAAATAGATAAATAACCACCCTGTTTCTACCTGGTCATCTCCTGGTAGTGCAGTAACTGTCATGCATCCAGGCAGTTTCAACAAGGCAACTGCATTTCCAGTTGCTGAAAGACTAGCCTCCTTCCCCATTTCCATGGTTTTGGCAGTTGAGAGATCAGTTTGGTAAAACAGATGTACCTGATCACACCCAACAGCCAGTTTGTGGCACATCAGCTGACTGTTAAAGGAGAACAGCACTTGGGCATAGCTCATTCACAAATTTCAGAGGCCTGTCATGGTATTGTAAAGCCCAAGCTCATTTATCTCTATTTTATAAAACTCCACTGGGCAATCAGAAATCATTCATTATCTCTGTCTGCCAGAAGAACATCACAAAAGCACACATCTCTGGGGTTGCGCAACCTTATTACCTGTGCTGTGCAGCGATGAAGATGATCTTCAGTATTTAAGGCAAGCAAATACTCCTGTAGAGATCCAAGCTCCTGCAGCCAGAAAGCATTCAATGAACACCAACTTTTCTACCAAAGATATCATCCTACTAAATAACATTAAACTGCTGATCATTATAGCAGTCCCCAAGAATCAAAAGGTACCAGAACTACACACAAGGCTCTCCTGGACACAGTTTGTGACCATAGAAATCAGTTCATTACAGATTGTTCATATGTAATGTTTAAAATAGACTCAAGGAGAACCACAATCAAATACTTTAAAATTAATTATTAAACCAGCATTCCTCTCAGAATAAAGAGTGGCTTTAGGGCCACCTGCCTTAATCACACAAGGAAGAGTCATGACTACCACTTAAGGTCCCATGATGGATAAGGCAACAGTACCCCCCTCTATTAGAATTTGCTACCAGACTCCACGTTTCTAAAGCATACCAAAGCTCTGATGAGCTTTCCCAAGAAAAAGGAAAACTGCGTCTAGTTTAACACTGAACTATGTATTGTTCCCAGCACTGGGGAGAGGAGGGATTTAAACACAGGAACTGCTTACAGTAACTCTGTTTTCTGTAACAAAGAAGAGTTCTGCAAGTGCACGATGAAGAGGAAGGAGAATACCAGGCTTGGTCACGTCATGACACAAGTTGTTTTCCATATGGGTGAAAAGCTGCCAAAGTGGCTTCAGCAAGGTAAGGTCACAGTCCCTGAAAAAAATAAACGAAATAGTGATGAAGTAGTGAGTAACCATGATCTAAGGCCTGTTTCAGGGTGGGGAGGGGGAGGAGTGGAACAAAAACCACCCAAACAAATTTAAGAGAACAAAAACGTACTGTTTTGACAGATGTATAAATGAAGGAAGAAACACAAGTAGTATTTTAAAATCTAAATTCACTTGAGCATTTTGGCACAATGAATTTCATTCTGAATCAGTAGAGAAAACCTCATATCCCTAAACATATTTAAATGATTTTTCTAAAACGGAGTGGCCTCCTGAAATAAGGACTTTAAAATAACTATAGACATCACTTTGTTAAATGCTCTAGCTCCACTGCTTGAAATGATGCAATACCAAACTACAGCATTGAGCGGCTGATGCCCTTGTTTAGGGCAGACAGACAAAAACTGATCTATAGCTTTACAAACAATTCCAACTCTGCCTCCTTCCTACTCCTGAGTTAAAGCTAGCTAACCCAATGTCACTTATACAGACAGGATGACAAATACCATTCGGTGGGAGGGGATAAGAGAGGAAACTATTTCAGAATCTATCACCAGATTAACACAACAAAAATATTAAATATTATAAGCACAACAGACTTGACATTTTAGAAATTCAATTTGTTGTCCGCATGACAAAGCAAACATTTTCTGATGAAAAAGAAAAGGGAACTTGAAGATACAGTAAATCAGTTATTAGAAGTAACACCACATTTAGTTTTTCAGACTTGGATGCGGAGTGGTACATCTAAAATTTAGAGAGTCAAGCAATGGTTTTACATAATTGTCTATTTTTATTACTATATCTGAATATACTTTTTCATTTCTCTTTATCAAAGTAATCTATTGGGATGCTATTATTTTCATGATTTCACTTGTTCTGAAATGAAAGGACATGAGGTAATAGCTTTAAACTGAAAGAGAGGAGATTTTGATGAGATCTGAGGAAGAAATTCTTCCCTCTGAGGGTGGTGAGGCACTGGACCAGGTTGCCCAGAGAAGTTGTGGATGCCCCATCCCTGGAAGTGTTCAAGGCCAGGTTGGATGGGGCTTTGGGCAACCTGGTGTAGTGGAGGGTGTCCCTGCCCGTGGCAGGGGGGTTGGAACTAGATGATCTTTGAGGTCCCTTCCAACCCAAACTGTTCTATGATTCTATGACGATTCTATCAAAGGACATAACTGAGATAAGTGTCAGCATTCCAGCACTGTTGTCCTGTGCTGTTAATGCAACTGTACACATTTACAAGATACTATAAAAGTTCAACATTTTTTTCAACATTTATTTTCATAAGAAAAACCTATGTCATACATACTTAAGCATTAGCACACCTATCCCTTCTGAAACTCAATTACTGGCTTAGTGGTACAACTAAAATTAATAATTTAAAAGTTATTTACTTTATAAGAGAATCAGATCATCATTTCACCAGTTGATTACCTCACTTGAATTCTGAAGTACGACTAATACAAAGAGAATAAATTTCTGGAAAATTAATTGAAATTTATCTTTTGTCCTGTGTCAGGGCATTACTTTTTCTCTTTACAACAACATTTGAATTCATTGGACCTTTTTCAAAAGCCAAGAAAGAAGAGAAAATATTTTCAAAAAAACCCTCCTTATAGTACGTTTCTGCTATCAAGGCACTGTGAATTGTGTCCAGAAGGCAAATCAAGAATACCTACTTCAAATCACAGTTTTCTGGCTTCAAAATAATATCCGCTGAGTCACTTTTTTTTCTCCTGCCCTTTGCCTTCTAGTGTTCGATGTAGAACAGCGCACTTACCTCTGGGCGCTGCACTGCACTATCTTCAAGAGCAAGTGGATGGCCTTCAAACGCTGGTGACCAGTCTGACGGCACGCTACCCCGACCTGCCATTCCCAGATTTTGGCCAGTGGGAGGTGAGGAATTACCCTTTCCTCTGACAGCATCTGCTTTAGAATTTCAAACCCTGGAGAAAAAAAATTCAAACAGCTGTTACTTTTGTAGGGACCCATCCTGTTCATATACTCCCTTTTCTCCATAGACTAAGTATTTCTCTGGCAAGTGAAAAATATCAAAGAAAAATACCAAACAAAAATCTGAGATAATTCTACATTACATCCTGACATCACAAGTCTTTTCTGGGGCAAGACTTAGACAAAAATTAGAAAGAATCCTATCTGAAATTAAAGTTTTGCCTAAACAAGGCAAACAAAACAGGTCCTCACTATTATGTGATACACAGTAAGAGTTTTGCTGGTTGCAAATCATCCACCAGCCTCTAGTTCATGAAAAATATTTAAACTCTAAAATAAACTAATAAAACCTTACATGCTATATCTAGAAATTAGATCCAGAACTAGCCTATTTTAATGGATAACCACTTTTTAAAAACACAATTACAATTATTTCTGCTTCCAATTACGGCACCTTGGAGTGTTTACTAAATCCTGTGTGTAATTACTGTCATATAATGAGACTTTGAATGCAAATAACATTATTATAATTATCATCTCCAAGTCTCTGTGAAGATTTGTTATTTCTAGCATAAAGTCACAGCAAATAAGAGACATTAGTTTTGTTCCAGTTGAAACTTGACTAATCACATTATTTCCAAAACACTGGAGAAAGCAAATTTTAAGTCAAAAAAAGGGATAACCACAAGCCTGTCAAAACTCGGTATAGTATCTCCAAAGAGTCCTTTCAGATACATTCTGAGCAGAGCTTACCTGTCTGAAACCTTCCAAGATGACCTGCTGTCACTGTAAATTTATAACCCCACTCAGTGTTACTCATGTCAGAAGTAAATCGGTAATAGAGTGTGTCTCCTGTGTATAAGGGAAGGAAGAAAATCCACATTACCACCTTCTGAGTTAGTTTGGCCGTCACAAATACAATTCAAATTAAAAGTTTGTCATTAAAATCAATTAATCCTAGATATCGTCATTCAAGAGAGGTGATAGTTTACTTTTCAGTAATTACGAAATGCACTAAACAGTATGACAGAATCATAGAATCATTTCGGTTGGAAAAGACCTTTAAGATCATCGAGTCCAACCGTTAACCTGGCACTGCCAAGTCCACCACTGCGTCATGTTTCTAAGCACCATATCTACACATCTTTTAAATACCTCCAGGGATGGTGACTTCACCACTTCCCTGGGCAGCCTGTTCCAATGCTTGACAACCCTTTCGGTGAAGAAATTTTTCCTAATATCCAATTTAAACCTCCTCTGGTGCAACTTGAGGCTGTTTCCTCTCGTCCTATTGCTTGTTACTTGGAAGTAACAGCTCACTACAATCTCCTTTCAGTTGTACAGAGCAATAAGGTCTCCCCTGAGCCTCCTTTTCTCCAGACTAAACTCCAGTTCCCTCAGAATGGTTTCCACTGTATAAAAATACTTGCAAGGATAACGTCTCTTATTTTTGTCAACTACACAGAAGAGGGAATTAAAGAAATTCAATACTGTACACAGTTAAACTTCAGTTTTCCCATTGTGTTAGGGATCAACCATAATTTATGAAAAAAGAACCTCTACATAGGCAACCAAGTTCCCAGACCACTATTTAAAATGTAAAAAAATTGTGAAACTAAAGTTGCAGTGCTCTTACAGGTCAGAAAATTAAATTGCGGAATTCTGCTCTAGGGAAGAAAATTGTTAAACTTAACCACTTAAAAGTGGAAGAACTATCAAAATGTTTAACCATTTTACAATCAGGTAGCGGAGCATTCAAGAAGTTCTCGTTATTGTAGCACCTACAGCTTCACAAACACTGTAATGCTAAACAAAAACCATCCTTACCTATTGTGCTCTGTAATATTACATCTGGTTAAAACTTAAAATTTCCTTCTGTTCCACAGAAAATCCTATTAGCCTGGGACAAGCACACTAGTTTTCACTGGGAAGCAGAATTTTCAAGGTTTCAAGAAGAAGGAAGATTTTTAAAACATTGTTTAGGATTAAAAAAAAAAAAAGTCTAAAAAACCTGTTCCCTTTTTCATCACGAAATGGAACCTGTTCCCCTTTTCATCATGAAATGGAGCCATTGCTCTCTTCTACTCCGAGGAGTCTTGAGAAAGCCCTGCCATCAAATGAAAAGCCCAGAAGCCTTCAAACGCCTGGTTTCAGCTAAAGCCTGCTGAGCAATATCAAGAGCCTTAATCCAGACAGCCTTGGCTGGAAATGAAGTTTCACAGCCAAGGCTGCTCCAAAACAATGGGCCTCAAATTTCAGTTTCTTGGCAAACCTCTGCAATGATCTGGGAGGAAAAGGACGACAGAAAGAAGTTCATAAAAATCCAAAATATCTCTACAGAGCACACATTTGTTTCCAACAAGCACCTTGTAACCCAGCTTACTTTGCTAAGGAAGTTCCTAAATCTATTTACAGCTACTGGCAGTACTCAAAGTCAAAAGCTTCCTGCAGTGCTATGGAGCTCTGTGGGTTAAAACAACTTAACACAAGAAGCATGGGACCATGCAGTGCTTCGGCTCACTGGCGTTTGCTGCTGTGTTATCAAAAACGTGCTTAGAGAACACAGACTGACGCCGTCAGTCAAACGACTGACTTTTTTTCAGCTATGGTCTGTGGCAACAACTGGAGACAAGGCACTGACACACATTATTTGCTCTGAGCACTAGTATAGCACAGAGACAAGAGATAAGCCTATCTCCGTTGGGTGGTGTTTGTTTATTTTTTTTTTAAATGTGCTTCCTGTGGAAAGACAGACAAGGCAGAAACAATGTAAGTGAATATCGTGCAGAACAAGGACTGTGTTGGAACAGAATCAAGATCAAAATTTGTTTCCAGCAGTTAGTGCATGCTTTGACCGAGGAGTGGAAAAAAAAACAAGGTCAAGTAGCAGAACAACAGATAAGCCCACTTTTAAGAAACAAACACAAGAGCAGCACGTCAGAGCAAACAGATTGGGAGAAGAAAACGAGGGTTTTTTCCCCACACGTCTCAGGAACATCCACATTTAACTGTCATCTTTCAGTAATTTCTCGGGAGTCTTGGATACCAGCAATACTCTATACATTTGCACTGCTAAACACTGCATATTCACCTGGAAGCTCAAAATCATTCCATTTCTGCGGAGACCCACTGAAGCTGTGCCGATCCTGCTGGAAGTCACTGCTGCTGGACATGAGCAACTCGTCACAGCCTTCTTCTGTATTACACTGAGAGTCAAATTTGATTGAGAGGTAGATAGCACCAGGAATGTGAACTTTATCCTGAGAAATAAATACATGATCTTTGTATACTGTAATACTGTATTACCAAGAAGGCACTTAGCTTCCACCGTACAAACAAGGGAGATATAACAAATATTACAGCATCTCCATGGGAAAAAAAGTCTTCATTATTTTTATTGAGAGCTAATTTAACAAATGTAAAGTATGGTCTACTGTTTGCATTAGCTGTTAAGAATGTAAAAATTAATTGCTAGCAATGCTTTGGGTTTTTAAAAGCTGTGATTGTTGCTGACATTGATCTCATTGCCAGAACCTAAAGGTTTATACATATTTTAAAAATAAAAATCATAAGAGTCAGAGCTGCAGTGAAGTTAAAATTCCCAAGACTGCCCAGAGGCATTAATTACTTAGCAAACTATAGGAGAAAAATCCTTTCAAACAATACCAAGGAAAGAAAAATCAGCAACTGTTTGTGTCAGGAGAAGGTAGTTTAAAATGAGAAATACAAGAAAAAAACGACTCCACTCCTAGCTTTCCTCTAGGAAAATAGCACAAGGAAGTAACAGGTCAAGCGAAACAGATGTTTGGATGAAAGGGTAGAAGTATTTGCTCATAGAGGCCCTGAAGCCATCTAATTATATGATCTTCAAACACAAGCGCAGTAAAACCATTCAAGTTATGCATTGGATTAAAGTGCATAAATGATTAAATTAGGACTACAATGAAGTGCCTTATTGGACATATTTCTTACAGGGCAAGGCCCCAGTCATTTGGCACTGGCCTCTTCAAAGGCAAGACTAAAGAGGACATTTCACAGGTGCTTCAAGCACAGAAGTCCCATGGGTATACACATGGAGTACTAATGTTTTTCAACTGGTCTTCAAGCAATGCAAATCCACTGCACTGTAATACACGTATAACTTACCTCAAAATTAGTATTGTTGTTATAAGGATGTTTAGATTCACGCATCTGGACTGCCATTCCGGGTTCCTCCATGAACTGGCAAGCTGCCAATGCCATTGTTCCCAGCATGCTCTCATTGCAACCGTGCAGTACTTTCTGTAGAATCTGGGCAGAAGCAACACATCATGTAAATACAATTTGCTATCAAACCAACATTTACTAAAACTCACATGCTGATGACTGACAGGAGTCATTTCTAGCTGCACATCATTTCGGAAGAGTGAATCAAGCTACTAGCAAGAAACAAAACAAATTCACCAACTCTGTAAGTGCAGAATATTTTACTTTGTCCTCTGTTCCAGATTTTTCAGTCTTTATCTGATAAAAACGTGAGAGCTATTAGCTACATCCCTTTCCACAAATGCTAGAATCAAGGCTAATCCATAAAGTAATTAACAGTAAACTACAGCTGTAAATAAGGAACATAATTTTAAAACAACTTTGTTAACATAACAAACAGATATCTTTACCTCTATACCTACAGGCTTTCATTTGAACAGAATGTGTCATATGTTTCAGCCTTCAAAATGTACGACTCCATGTACAAAAAGAAATGATTAAGTATACTTAAGTGGCTGCAGTGTTTGAAAGCACTAGATGCAAGAGCTCTGTCTTGAAAAATATGAATAAATACCATTTAAGCTATCAGGACAGACTAAATGATATTTCAGAACAACCTTAGTCTCTCTTTTTCCTATTTTTCAAAAGTGCACAGAAGCTCTTAATCAGGAGTCCTGCTACTCGAGGTCCTTTCCAGGTCATTACAGCAACCTATTACACCTCTTCACCTGCAATTTTCTAACTCTTCCTATAAAACGTAATACTAGTCAGACCAAAAGGTTCATCTCCAAATCAGCCATGAACGCATTTCTTGGGGAAAAGGAGTTTAAAAAACAAAGGCAGTATGCAGCATAGTTCCCTGAATGCATTATTTGCCTCCACACACTTGCGGAATAGCCTAAGACGAAGGCTACACTTTTGTATTTAGTACGCCTTAACAGATATTTTATTCTGTCAGTTCATCCTGTCATTTTTCTGAACCTATATAAACACCCTGTGGCAACAACTTCAATGACATACTGTGTCAAGACCAGTTCTTTTGGTTTGTTTTGGACCTGCCACTCATTACCTTAATTTGACACTCCTTTGTTTTCTTACTGGGAGGGCCAGTGAATAATACTTGCTGTTAACTTTTGTATGCTGCTTACTGTTGTAAAACTACAGAGACAGAGGAACAGAAATGCACCCACAGGGCAAAGATTCAGGATGAAGAAAACTACTTGGTTCCTCATACTGAAGTTATTCCATGGCTGTAATAACTCCTGCCACTCTTCTCCAGACCTCTTCCTATTGTAATGAATTTTTTTTTTTTTAAATGAGATGAGGGAACCAGGTCACAAGCTCTAGCCCAGATGAGAGCATACTGTTGGTTCAGTGGCATACCAATGCCTTCTGGTTCATTCTTAAGTCCCTCTTAAGATTCCCAGCACTTGATTTTCTTTGACCGCTGTGAAGCACTGAGCTGACATTTTCATTACATCGTTCTATTATAATTTCAAGATCACTTCCACCACGGTAACAGTCAGCTCATCAATGGAATAGCAGGTATCACAATATACACATTGAGATCTAACAAAAAGCAGCTTTCAAAACGGACTGCCTATTTTACCAATTTCTTCCTAAGATTTATTTGCTCTGTCTCCACAGAGCTAGTTTTTTCCGTTTTCTGTTAACAAAATCAGTACATTAAGACACTGACAGATTCCAACTGCTTTTTCAGAACTAATTTAAATTCTGGAGTTTCAGTTTAGTTTAAAAAATGAACTGCAAGTATTTTTGTTAGTCAGAGTCTCATGGCATGTAGGCCCAGGGCTTGTTTGCATGCATAAGTGAAATCCACTTACTTTTTCCCATAACTGCTTTTCCTCTAGCTGCATAAGCATGTCCAGTATGTATGTCATATGGGCTGGGCCACTAAGATCTAGGATTTCCTCATTTATTGCCACGTCATCTGGCCACTCCGCTAACAACGATGCCAGCACATGCCTGGCATAAAGAACAGCAGTTGCCTCGTTTACGCGATACAGGTAGTCCCTCACAGCCTTTTTACTTCTGGAGTCCAGCTCCTTGTGCAAGAGTATTGAACTCTTGGTGCGACGTTGCTTGGCATAACTAAGCTGTAGATCACTCTCTGTGTTGGTTATCAGTTTCTGGGCGACCGGATTGGTTTCTTCTGTTGCTTTATCACAGAGCACAGGCTTCGACTGCAAAAAAGAAATGCAAGTTTGAAAATAGGCTCTGAACAATTTACTTCCTTATGTTTGGATATGAGGGTACAGCATTGATGGATAGGAGAAGAGCAACTGACATCATCTGCCTGGCCTTATCCAAAGCATTTGATACTGTCCCACACGACATTCTTGTTTCTAAACTGGAAAGACAGGGTTTGATGAATGGACCACTCGGTGGATAAGGAATTGGCTGGATGATCGCGCTCAAAGAGTTGTGGTCCACAGTTCAATGTCCAAGAGGAGGCCAATGATGAGTAGTGTTCCTCAGGGGTCAGTACTGGGACCAGTGCTATTTAACATCTTTGTTGGTGACATGGACCACGGGATTGACTGCACCCTCAGCAAGTTTGCAGATGACACCAAGTTGTGTGGTGTTGTGGACACGCTGGAGGGAAGGGATGCCATCCAGAGGGACCTGGACAGGCTGGAGAGGTGGGCCTGTGAGAATCTCATGAAGTTCAACAAGGCCAAGTGCAAGGTCCTGCACGTGGGTCGGGGCAATCCCAAGCACAACTACAGGCTGGGCAGAGAATGGATTGAGAGCAGCCCTGAGAAGAAGGACTTGGGAGTGCTGGTGAATGAGAAGCTCAACATGAGCCGGCACCGTGCGCTGGCAGCCCAGAAAGCCAACCGTGTCCTGGGCTGCATCAAAAGGAGCGTGGCCAGCAGGTCGAGGGAGGGGATTCTGCCCCTCTACTCAGCTCTCATGAGACCACACCTGGAAACTGTGTTCAGCTCTGGAGTCTCCAGCACAAGAAGGACATGGAGCTGCTGGAGCGGGTCCAGAGAAGGCCACGGAGATGATGCGAGGGCTGGAGCACCTCTGCTATGGAGACAGGCTGAGAGAGTTGGGGCTGTTCAGCCTGGAGAAGAGAAGGCTCCGGGGTGATCTTATAGCAGCTTTCCAGTACTTAAAGGGGGCCTACAGGAAAGCTGGAGAGGGGCTTTTGACAATGGCATGTAGTGATAGGACAAGGAGCAATGGCTTTAAACTGAAAGAGGGGAGATTTCGATTAGATATAAGGAAGAAATTTTTCACTCAGAGGGTGGTGAGGCAGTGGAACAGGTTGCCCAGAGAAGTTGTAGATGCCCCATCCCTGGAGGTGTTCAAGGCCAGGCTGGATGAGGCTTTGGGCAACCTGGTGTAGTGGAGGATTTCTCCGCCCCTGGCAGGGGGGTTGGAACTAGATGATCTTTGAGGTCCCTTCCAACTCTAACCATTCTATGATTCTATGATATCTGACCAGTCCATCAGACTGCAAGCTGAATTTACAAATTAATTTATCTTTACCTACTAAAAACCCAGTGCATCAAAAAACACAAAAGTATGATCTCTCATGCACCTACAGGGACAGAATTCCTCAAAAAGACTGTTTTTGTCACCAGAGTTCATTATACCCTGATGCATTCACAACTGTGCACACAAGCAGAAACAGCAGCTAGAATTCTAACCAGAGGTGTTAATTTAACCTGACCTGCAGAGGTAAAGCAATGAAGTGCCATGCTATTTGTGACACAGAATAAAGAAAGTTGGGAGGAACCTTTGGAGATCATTTGGTCTGAATCCGACTTAAAGCTGAGCCAACTTCAAAATCAAGACTTTACCCAGTTAAGTTTGTAGAATTTCCAGGAGTGGATATTTCACAGCATCTGTATAAGCTGTTGTAAGGCCTATTGTTTTTGTTATAATTATTTCAAACTATTTCAGGAAGCCCTTGATCCGGTTTTCTATGCAACTGATAGACAACTGCGTTGGTGATACCACACAGCCAGGAATAAGGACTCAAAATAAAACAAAGAGCTCTGGCACCATGCTGTTGAGTGAAAAACCTAAATCTTGCAAGTGTAGTGTCTACTTTACAAGACAAATTCATTGCTTCCTTGTTCTGCTGAAATTACTGTAAGATAACAATAATATGTGAAAACAGTAACCCATGGCATAAGCTTACAGTAATTAGATACAATCTCTCTTGTGTAAGGAGAGGAAATTACAGCGCGCCATCACAATTTGTTCTCCTGACCTGAGAGTCAAGTTCTCTTACTTTCTTAAGGAAGAAATACTTTCTTCTTGTTGCACCTGCCTGTGCACCTGCACATTTTGACATAAAACATTAACAATGGATTATTTCAGACGTAAAAAAAAAATTAAAAAAAATCTCAGGTTTGACGTTACTAAATAAACCTGAAGTTACTCGATGCTTAAATTAATCACTTCACAACTGCTCCTTTCTGTGGAGATGCACATACCAAACAGGGTAAGATGATCATATCTGTATCTACTGCTTTTGAACTCTGCTCCTCCAGCCTCAAACGCTTGCTGGGTTGCCATTTCTGAGCCAGTGTTCGGATTCTCTCATCTGTTGTAATTACATCTCCATCAAACCTTAGAAATGGCAAAAGAACAAAAAAGATACACAAATGTGTTTCGGAAGTAATGCAAACTAAATTAGTGCAATTAAATGCAAACTGAATCCTCCCACCTTCTGTTTTAGAAAGGTTCATTAAACTCTACCTATTTTCATCATACTGTGTTAACTAGTTTCCCTGTTCTAACAAGTCAAAGGTTTTAAATGTTATAAAATTGCTCATCGGTGTGAGAACATAGTGGCCCCATGACATCCTTTGATTACTAGAAGCCACATCTAAGCTCTCTCCATTCTTCCTCAGTTAGGATAATTTAGAGACATAGTAGATCTTCATACGGAAGGTATCGTACAGAAAAGAACATGCAATGCCTTTCAGAAGATGGCGACTTGTTTCCGTAAATATAACTCAGTAGAGTTTCTTTCTTTTTTTTTTTTTTTTTTTCACATATGAAAACCAAATTGTATCTTTGGAATAATTTCTATTTGGCACCTATTAGATTTTAAAGTTATCACCCACGTCTAGTAACTTTGTTTTTCTACTGGACCCAGTCTTTCACATACCTCTTTTGAACTTCCAGGAAAAAAGAATCTGTTCTTTTCATTTGCAGCTCATACATGGCTCGAAGAATATGGAGAGGTGCATTAAGTGCATCGTGTGTCATCTGAGCAAGGAGACCAAAAAAAAGAACAAAAACCGAGGACATTACAGGGGAAAAAGAAAGATGAGTTTCTTTAAGGACAACCTACATACTATTTTCCCACTTATTGTATACACAAAGAATTAATGAACTTAATATCTGGATTAGTAAGAATGAAAAACAATTTAGCAAAAAGCTTTATAATTATTTTGTAGTGTTTGTTACTGTAGTTCTAATTTATTTCCTTCAGATAACAATACATTGAAATCATAGAACCGTATTCTGTAAATTTAGAAGAAAAACAGCCATATAAACTACCAAATATTTTATGCCACAAGTAAATTCACAATAACTTCAAAGAAGGTAAAATTAAGTACCAAGAAGCATATTTTGGTGGCTTCATCCAAACCCTCCAGAGGATCAAGTTTGTTTTGCTCTAAATCAACAGGACCAACAATGGGTTGTTCCACATCTTGATCCTGTTCCCTTTCTTCCAGTTCAGTATCCTCACGTTCAGCCAGAGAACTGATCTCTTTCTTTGAGGAATACAGCATTATTGACAAAATCTACAGAGGAAAAAAGGTAGCATAGATTATTAGTGTATCTGCAATCAGTATTTTATAAGAACATTATAAGACTTGGACACTGCTTAACACATGTCATTCTAAAAAGAAGCAGCATCTAAAAAAATCAAAGGAAACAAAAACCAAAACACACAACCAAACCATTTGCCACTTCGCAAATGAGTTACACCTCCCAGGCTGCTATGAAGGCAACTTAAGTGACTACCTGAAAGTGTAAAAAATTGATAAAGTAATTATTCAACCATTTAGGTATATCAAAGGTTTGGGGATTGTTAGAAAAGAGCAGAACAGAGGTGACTATCACCAAAAAGCCAGCAATGCCCTTACACCCTCTTCTCCTTTGAAAACATACCTTCAGCTTCATAGAATCATAGAATGGTTATGGTTGGATGGGACCTCAAAGATCATCTAGTTCCAACCCCCCTGCCAGGGGCAGGGACAACTACCACTACACCAGGTTGACCAAAGCCTCATCCAACCTGGCCTTGAACACCTCCAGGGATGGGGCATCCACAACTTCTCTGGGCAACCTGTTCCACTGCCTCACCACCCTCTGAGTGAAAAATTTCTTCCTTATATCCAATCTAAATCTCCCCTCTTTCAGTTTAAAGCCATTGCTCCTTGTCCTGTCACTACACGCCCTTGTCAAAAGCCCCTCTCCAGCTTTCCTGTAGGCCCCCTTTAAGTACTGGAAAGCTGCTATAAGATCACCCCGGAGCCTTCTCTTCTCCAGGCTGAACAGCCCCAACTCTCTCAGCCTGTCTCCATAGCAGAGGTGCTCCAGCCCTTGGATCATCTCCGTGGCCTTCTCTGGACTCGCTCCAGCAGCTCCATGTCCTTCTTGTGTTGGGGACCCCAGAGCTGAACGCAGTATTCCAGGTGGAGTCTCACGAGAGCAGAGCAGAGGGGCAGAATCCCCTCCCTCGACCTGCTGGCCACGCTCCTTTTGATGCAGCCCAGGACACGGTTGGCTTTCTGGGCTGCCAGCGCACGGTGCCGGCTCATGTTAAGCTTCAGCACAGCCAACACCACTAATACTAACGTGAAGAGAACAATGCTACATACTTCCTTGGTTGTACAATTTTGTGTCAGCCTCCATTCTGAGGAGTGATGTTGGCAGAGCTATGGCGAGACATTTTAGTACCCAGGGCAGAACATTCATTTGGTACAATGCTGCCCAAAGCAGGGGAAGGTGGGGCACCCCTCTGAGTCAGGGCTGGTTCTCTGGCTGTAGGTTAGGAGGCAGAAAGATCCCACAGTCCGGATCTGATTCTGCAGTATTTCTAACCAACTATCTG